GGCCGTACTTCGTTCCCCTCCTTCAGCAGGTTCTTGGTCAGCCGCCTCCTCCTTGTCCTGCTCCCTCCTTAGAGTGTCCTCCGCCTGTCCAGTCGCAGTCGTAGTTACCGCCTGCCTTGCCACTCCCTGGTCCTTCTCCCTACACTGGTCCGATAGGAGGACTTACAGAGCGTCGTGAGCCTGAGTCTCGTCCTGTGTCGCCTGAGTCTCATTCTGCGTCACCTGTTCGTGCTGCTCGCACTAGTCGTCGTGTCCCGCGTCAGCGTCCTCCTACTGTCCCAGGCACTCACCAGATGACGCTTCGTCCTTCCACTGCTCCACAGCGTGTCCCTCTTCCTTCTCCTCCTGAGTCCTCCCTTCCTGCCCTTGCTGACCCGGAGTCTGACACTCTTCGTGCTGCTAGTCCTACTGTCACGCGTCTCCTGGCCACTGCTGCCACTGACCCTTCCTTTGAGTCAGCTGCTGCGTCTGCCTTAGTTGCTGAGCTTGTCGACTTTGCTGCTCACTGTCGTCTAGACTACGCTGCCAGTCTTGTTGCTGAGTCTGAGTCTGAGTCTGTCTGTCCTCCGTCCGTCGGGGGTGAGTGTGCTCTTGGCACGGACGTCCTTGAGGACAGGCAGGAGGAGTTTGAGTGCTTTGCTGCTGCTGTACCTCATATTGTGGCCATGCTGCTTGCCCCTGAGGGAGACCCGGATGCTCCAGACATCCCGGCCCTGAGGCGATCGCGGGTGAGTACTCCTCTCAGTGGCTGTCAGCCATGGACGCAGAGATGGCATCCTGGAAGTCCACTGGCACTTACGTCGACGAGGTTCCCCCTCCTGGGGCGAACATCGTCAGTGGCATGTGGATTTTCAGGGTGAAGCGGCCGCCAGGTTCTCCGCCTGTCTTCAAGGCTCGGTACGTAGCTCGAGGCTTCAGTCAGCGAGAGGGAGTAGACTTCTTCCAGACCTTCTCTCCCACCCCGAAGATGACCACTCTTTGGGTGCTGCTGCACGTTGCCGCTCAGCGTGACTACGAGCTTCACTCTCTTGACTTCAGCACAGCTTTCTTGCAGAGCAGCTTGCACGAGGAGATATGGCTGCGCCGCCCTCCTGGCTTCACTGGGTCGTTCCCTCCTGGTACCCAGTGGAGCCTCCGGCGGCCGGTGTACGGTCTCCGCCAGGCGCCACGTGAGTGGCACGACACACTGAGAACTACACTTGCGGCTCTTGGGTTCGCGCCTTCTACTGCTGACCCGTCGCTGTTTCTGCGCACTGACACCTCGCTGCCGCCGTTGTACATCCTCGTGTACGTCGACGACTTGGTCTTTGCCACTGCTGACACTGAGGCTCTCGCCCTGGTGAAGTCGGAGCTGCAGAAGAGACACACGTGCACAGACCTGGGTGAGCTGCGCAGCTACCTTGGCTTGCAGATCACCCGGGACAGAGCACGCCGCACCATCACCCTGACTCAGTCACACATGGTGCAGCAGGTCCTTCAGCGCTTCGGCTTCACCTGGTCCTCGGCACAGGCCACTCCTCTGGCTATAGGTCACTCACTCTCAGCTCCACCTTCGGACGAGTCCGTAGAGCCGAGTGGTCCTTACCCAGAGCTAGTTGGCTGCCTCATGTACCTGATGACTTGCACTCGTCCTGACCTCGCGTACCCTCTTGGTCTGCTGGCTCGCTACGTGGCTCCTGGTCGGCACCGACCTGAGCACATGGCTGCCGCTAAGAGGGTACTGCGCTACTTGTGCAGCACATCAGGCATGGGGCTAGTGCTTGGAGGGAAGAGCCCAGTTGTCCTCACTGGGCACTCAGACGCTTCTTGGGTTGACGACCAGGCTACTCAGCGGTCGTCACAGGGTTACACCTTCAGCCTTGGCTCTGGTTCAGTTTCTTGGCGTTCTACACGCTCGTCTTCAGTTCTCAGCTCCAGCTGTGAGGCTGAGATCTACGCCACAGCCGTGGCTGCACAGGTGTTACGCTGGCTCACCTACCTGCTGACCGACTTGGGAGAGCGGCCTCGTTCCCCTCCAGTGCTGTACGTCGACAACAAGGCTACCATTGCCTTGTGTGAGGAGCACAGACTGGAGCACAGAACGAAACACATCGCTCTGCGTTACTTCCTAGCTCGAGAGTTGCAGCAGCGTGGTCAACTTCGTCTGCGTTACGTGGCCACTCGGGCCAACACTGCTGATATATTGACCAAGGCACTTCAGGCTGGTGATCATCAGCGTTTCTGCACTATGCTGGGGCTTGTGCCCACTTTTCCTCACTTGCTGTAGGCTTTGCTTGTACTGTGATCTATATATATATACCTGCATGTTTGCATTGCTAGGTAGAGATCACTGTACTGTTCTTGCTGCATATATACCTCTGCATGTGGACTGGCCTTGTGGCCCTTTGCCTGTGCTCAGAGTGTGTGGTGACGTTGTGATCCACCCTGAGCTTGCTTTGCCTTTCTTGACTGGTCTTGTGACCTCTTGCTCTCCCCCACTTTGCCTATGGGGGTGTGTCAAACATATATATGTTATATGTTGCAGTTATTGGTAGGCTGTAGTGGGGTAGATTCTGTGGGGTATAACCCCTTAAGGTTTTCCTACTTGTCAAAACTCTCTCGATAGTTAAACTCATCCATCTCATTCTAACAAATGGGTGAAGGTTCACTATAGCACACGAGTACATATAGCAACCTAACAAAGGTGAAAGAGGTGCACCACCATACAAGGGAATTACACAGCAGCTACACTACACGCAGATTATACTAAATAGATATAAATCTATTGTGACAGCAGTAGCAGCCCGACTCGGCAGGGCGGCGCGACTCGGCAGGGCGGCGCGGCTCGACAGGGCGGCGCGGCTTGGCAGGGCGGCGCGGCTCGACAGGGCGGCGCGGGTGCGGCGGTGCGCTTACCAGTGGCGGGAGGGGAGGGTAGAGGCCGCGACTGGTGGGGCAGGGCCGTGGCGCGCCGGCAGGGTAGGGGCCGCGACAAGGCGGCAGGGCAGGGCTGCGACTCGGCTGCAGGTCAGGGCCGCGTCAGGGCGGCAGGGCAGGGCCGTGACGGCGGGGCCGCAGCGACGACGACAGCGGCGGTCGCACCGGCGGCTGCAGGCTCGACGGCGGCAGCAGAGCCGCTACGGCGGCAGCAGGGGCGACGGCTGCTGCACGCCACGGTGCCTCGGCGGCTGCTGCAGGGTAAGGGGCCACGACGACGAGGCGGGCGGGCCGTGGAGGGTCGCGACGACGGGCGGGCGGGCCGCGCAGGGCCGCGACGAAGGGGCGGGCGGGCCGCAAAGGGCCGCTAAGGGCGGCGATGGGCCGCTAAGGGCGGCAGGGCGGGCCGCTTAAGGGCGGCAGGGCGGTTCGCGGCAGGGCGGCGACGGGCCGTTAAGGGCGGCAGGGCGGGCCGCGAAGGGCGACAGGGCGGGCCGCTAAGGGCCGCGACGGCAGGGCGGGCCGCTAAGGGCCGTGACGGCAGGGCGGGCCGGTAAGGGCAGCAGTAGGGCAGAACGCGATGCGCGCTTCGGGCAGGGCAGAAAAAAAAAAATCAAGTGGTGGGCCCTTAAAAAACGGTCCCACTAGGGAACCCGCTCTATACCATGTGAGAAAAGTACGAGGAATCAATGCACTAGGAAACAGCTGGGTACAAGTAGGAAAACCTAAAAGTGTTGTACCCCATATTATCTACCCTACTATAGCCTACACAGACTATAGCATATATGTTTGACACTAAGGCCGTGGGAGGGCAGTACGAGGGCTGCTAAGGCCGTGGGAGGGTAGCGCGCGGGGCTGACGAGGCAGCGGGCGGGCTGGGCGGGCGTCGCACGGGGCTGACGAGGCAGCGGGCTGGCTGCGCGCTCGCGGGTCAGTACAGGCAGCGCGAGAGCTGAGAGGCGGTCCGCGGGGCAGTAGAAGGCAGCGCGAGGGCTGCGGAGCGGCGCGCGGGGCAGGAGAAGGCAGCGCGAGGGCTGTGGGGCGGCGCGCGGGCCTGACGAGGCGGCTAGCGAGCTACGCGCAGGGCTGACGAGGCAGCGGGCGGGCTGCTAGCGGGCCGCACGAGGGCCAGCAGAGGCGAGCGCGAGGGCTGCGCGACTCAGGGCAGTGTAGGCAGGGGGCGGGGTAACGCGGTAACCGGCGGAAAACGGTTGGTGGGCCCTGAAAAACAGTCCTATAACGGTCCTAAGGACCTATTTTGCTCTTAATACCATGTCGAGAGTAAAGGGACGGAGAAGGTTGGCATGACTATCGAGAGAGTTGGGTACAAGTAACAAAACCTATACCCTACATTAGCTACCGCACTAAAGCCTACATATCATTATAACATAGGCATATAGTTTGACATGGGGAAGCGAAGGTATGGGTGCGGTCCGAGAGAAGATCGTATGCTCTGAATACTAAGTGTTACGAGTGCAATTGAGCGAGTGAGCGAGAATTGCACTATCGAAGCAAAACAATACAATGAGCGAAGGAATGAGCGAGAGCTAAATAGCAAAGGCCACAGTGGTAACGGTACCGGTAACGAACTGTGGGTGACGTGCGACGGGCCTGTGACTGAGGTTGGGACTGAGGTAGGGAAGTGTCGAAGCGGAGGCCCGGAACGCGGGTTACCAGCCGAGTCGTGAGGTTGGGTTGCGACGGGCAAGGTGGTGGGAAATGGTTGAGGCGAGTATCGCGAGTGGTAACGGCGCTGAGTGTGGCGAGAACAGTGGTGTACGCGCGAAGCAGGGATGCGGCATAAGGAAATGGAAATTTCCTTACACTGTACAATCCTCTTTCATAGAATGTGGAAATCACAAACAATCCTTTTTAGGTATCTTCAAAGTATGAACTTAGAACTTGCCCTGCGGATTCAATCCAATGCCCATACTAAACTATGAAGTGTGTTCCCATGAAGTACTTTGAACATACTTCGCGCTAAGTGCATTCATTGTTTTTGGCCCAAAAATTTTGTAGAGCACCTGTACGTTCTGCAATAATCGGAAGGCCTTCATGCATCGTGTCTTGCCTGCTAAGAGTAAATGAATCCCACTCCTCTGCCACGGTGGGCAGTGAGGCGCCTCCTTGCAAATGCCGCAGCTGTTACAATCGTTCTTCTCTCGGCTATTGTAACGCTCATTCCTTCTGCCAATGCCGCCGCCAGCTGCAGCGCTTTCCGCGCCACGCATCCCCTGCCGCCGCCGCATCCAATTTTTTCCCCGCTCCGCAAGCCGCCGCAACACCATCTGGCGGCTCCCGCGGTTCAAACCGGGGCTCTCGCTCATCGCGCGCTGATGCGGCGCCTCCCCGTCGCGCCAGCCGCCGGCGCTGCCAGCTCCAATGCTGTCGGCAGGACGGCAGCCCCCGTCCTGCAACCGTCGCACTGTGAGTAGCGCTGGCAACGGTGAGGGTGCCAGTGCCGTGGCTTAGCATGCTGGTGCATGCGCGCAACTATACCACCTCGCTACCCACTGGGTCAATGAGGGTGTTATAGCGCAGCGGATGCCCTTAGTAACACTAACCTATAGGCGCTACTCTCGTTCCCCCCTGGTTCCAACCTCCCCGTTGGCTCTGAACTTCAGGAAGTCGCCCCGCGCAAGGACCTAGATTTCGCTGTGCTACTAGCAGCGATTTCGCTGGTTGCTCAGGCCAGCGGAGGATCGTTCGCTGGGTTCAAGTCTGGTAACCACATCGTACTTCTCGCCACAGGCGGAAAATGTGGACCACCCAGGATTTGGACGCTAGGTTCTGATTCCAGTATGACACCTCACCACCCGCTGGGTCAAAACGAGGGTGTTATATTGGCGCAGGGGATCGTTACACTAACTCCCCATTAGGGCACCCATATTGGATCACCAGTGGCCCCATTCTTCGTCCCTATTGCCCTATACTCTCCTTCCCACTCAACTCTCCCAATCACCCCGTTTCCCCCCCGTGTGCGCAGTGCGCGTGCTGGTGCAGCTGCAGGAGGCGTGGGGGGGCGCGTGGGCGGGCAACAGCAACGCCACCACGGCGTGCTCTGCGTGGGCTGGCGTCACCTGCAGCCCCGACGGGCTCGTCCTTGCCCTGTGAGTCACTCACGTACCGCCCTAAGGGTCTCGTCCTTGCCCTGTGAGTCACTCACGTACCGCCCTAAGGGTCTCGTCCTTGCCCTGCGAGTCGCAACGGGGCCGTCCTTGCCCTGTGAGTCGTGCGCGAGCGGCCCGAAGGGGAAAATGTATCTGCAGTGTGCGTCACAGGATTAAACCCTCTGGGAGCACTGGATCTTGCACAGCACTGAGCACCTCCTCCTTGAACCCGCACGTGTACTGAAGGCGTGGTTATTGAACGCGAAATCCAAACATCCAGTGCCCGGGGTCTGGAAACACGAAGGAGAACTACTGTTGGTTGGACAGCCGAGAGGCTGAATGATGTGATGTTCCTTTTCTTCAATGTGCACGTGGATGTGTATGCATGGCTGCACATGGATGTGTATGCATGGCTGCACATGGATGTGTATGCATGGCTGCACGTGGATGTGTATGCATGGCTGCACATGGATGTGTATGCATGGCTGCACATGGATGTGTATGCATGGCTGCACATGGATGTGTATGCATGGCTGCACATGGATGTGTATGCATGGCTGCACATGGATGTGTATGCATGGCTGCACATGGATGTGTATGCATGGCTGCACATGGATGTGTATGCATGGCTGCACATGGATGTGTATGCATGGCTGCACGTGGATGTGTATGCATGGCTGCACGCGGATGTGTATGCATGGCTGCACGTGGATGTGTATGCATGGCTGCACGTGGATGTGTATGCATGGCTGCACGTGGATGTGTATGCATGGCTGCACGCGGATGTTTATGCATGGCTGCACGCGGATGTGTATGCATGGCTGCACGCGGATGTGTATGCATGGCTGCACGCGGATGTGTATGCATGGCTGCACGCGGATGTGTATGCATGGCTGCACGCGGATGTGTATGCATGGCTGCACGCGGATATGTATGCATTGCTGCACGTGGATGTGTATGCGTGTGCATGTGTGTGTGTGTGTGTGTGTGTGTGTGTGTGTGTGTGTGTGTGTGTGTGTGTGTGTGTGTCGGCGCGCGCGCACATGTGTGTGCGTGCGCACATGAGAGTGTGCATGTCCGAGTGCCGGTGCATATGTGTGGTATGTGTGTGTGTCTGTGAGTGCATGTGCGTGTGTATGCATGCACGTGTGTGTGAGAGTGTACGTGTGTGAGTGTATGTGAGTGTATGTGTGTGTGTGTGTGTGTGTGTGTGTGTGAGTGCATGTGTGTGAGTGCATGTGTGTGAGTGCACGTGTGTGAGTGCACGTGTGTGAGTGTGTGAGTCTGTGTGTGTGTGAGTCCATGTGTGTGAGTGCACGTGTGTGAGTGCACGTGTGTGAGTGTGTGTGTGAGTGTGTGTGTGTGTGTGAGTGCATGTGTGTGAGTGCATGTGTTTGAGTGCACGTGTGTGAGTGCACGTGTGTGAGTGTGTGTGTGAGTGTGTGTGTGTGTGTGTGAGTGCACGTGTGTGTGCACGTGTGTGTATGCATGCACGTGTGTGTATGCATGCACGTGTGTGTATGCATGCACGTGTGTGTGTGCACGTATGCCCTGGCAGGGACTCCAAGGCCTTTACCATGGATCCTCCTCCCACCGGCGCCATTCCTGCTGCCATCACTGACCTCACCACCCTTCAATACCTGTCCGTCCCCGCTACCCTCTCCCTCCCTCTCCCTCTCCCTCTCATCCTGCCTGCACCATGTTTTCCTTTCCCCTTGCTCCTCCCTTGTGCCCCTGTTCATCCTCACTCCCCTCTTCATGCAACCTGCCTCGTGACTCCGTCCTTGCCACACCATGTCCTTTTCCTCCCTCTTACACTCCCTCATTCTAATCATTATACCTACTTGTTTCCAGCACCCCCCTTACCCCCTCCCTCGGGTTGGGTTCCCCTTGCTGACGAGAAAAGGCCCACTATTCAAAACGCCCTTAACTTAACCACAACAGTGCCACCTCCTCCCCTCTCCTCCCCCCCCCCCCTCGTCCCCCCCCAATTCTCCCTCTCTGTTTGTCTCCCTGCAGCGATCTGACGTACGGCATCAACCTGGAGGGCCCCATGCCATCCCTTGCATCTCTCACCCGCCTTCTTCACCTGTACGTCTCACACCCTCCTCTCCTCTCCCATCACCAGTAACACACCTCCCATTCCCACACATCCCCTCACCGCCCCTCCTGCTCTCTCGCAGTGACTACATGTGACCTCTGATCCGTGATGCTCTTCTGGCCTGTCCTTCCTTGCATGCCCCCCCTTTTCACTCAATCAATCGAGCTTGCTGTTGCCCCCTGCACATGCCCCATCCCTCTGTATGTGCCGCATGCCCCATCCCCCTGCATGTGCCCCTCCCCCCTGCATGTGCCCCATCCCTGTGCCTGTGTGCATCGCTCCCTGCAGCGCCCTGGGAGCAGACGGCTGCTTGCTCACCGGCACTGTGGACCAACTCTCGTGGCTCTCCTCCCTCTCCGCCCTGCACTTATTGTAAGCCCTGCCTCTCCAGTAGGCATGAGCGCAAAGGGCGAACACCTGTTCGTTCGAGGTGAACCAAACGCTTTTCTTTATTTGGCCAAAAGTGTTCGGGCGAACATGTTCGTGTTCAGTTCGTCGTGGCTAGCCAAGCCGCGCCAAACATGAACATGTTCGTGTTCGTCTAATGTTCAGAGCGTTTTTGGGAAGAAACCAGGGAAAAAACTCAACTTCACACACCATACCATCTCTCCTTGCTGAAACCGACGCCCATACCATAACTAGAAGCCCAGTTCGCCCATCCCACGGCTGTTGAGAAGTTGAGAAGATAGGGGTGAACATAGGGGTGTTCGCCCCTAGAGGCGAACAGGCGAACACCATTTTCTCAGAAAGTGTTCGCCGCGAACCAAACACTGCTCGGTTCGCCCAGGTGACATGTTCGCCCTGGGCGAACACGAACATGTTCGTGTTCGCCTCTTGCTCAAGCCTACTCTCCAGTTTCTTCCTCCATGCCTACCCTGCCCAGTGGGCGGCGAATAAGCATATGGGCTCAATGTCTTGGGGAGTATGTATGAGGAGGACACTTGATGAAGGCTTCTCAAAGGCTTCTCAACAACCTTCTGTTCATCCCTCTCTTGCTCGATCCTCAAAACTGCTGCGGCACAACTCTTTTCCAGCATGGTTTTCTCCAAGGCTCGGATTCAGTTTCCAATGGCATCGGCAGCACCACCATTATAAAAGCTCGTCACATAAAACAATGAAATTCACCCGCGTGGGCATGAGAACGGGCCAGCCTCCTCAACCGAGGCCGGCTGGGCTCCGCTAGAGGGTGGTTCAGGCCGGTGTTTGTGGAAAATCTGCCACACGAGCTGCCCCGGCGGGTTGGTTCTGGCTCGAGCAGCCACGACCTGGCAACCACACAGTCGGTCGTCACCAGGCCAGGCCGTTTTTCGGGCCGCGTCGAGCCGAATGACAGAGTCTCGTGCGCACTTGAGTCAACCTGACGGAATTGAAGCTCGTTGAATCCGCCTTACTTCAGGAGCCCGCACACCTGCCATTGGGCCTTGGGTGAGCGCGCCCCTCACCTAGCAGCCCACACGCCCCTCGCTGACTGCGAGTGCCTCGGGCCATGCCAGCCCGACTCGTGGTCCGAACCAGGGTGGTCCCCCCCCCCCCTAGTTCACCCTAGTTCACCGTGCCCACCGGGATTCGAGGAAACCCGTCAGGTTGACGGGACATCTGGATTCTGGACCCTGGTGGTGACTGCGACCTGGCTCATGGAGCAGTCCTGGGAACTCCAAAGTGCTGCCAGTCCACGTCAGTTGGTGAGCCAGTAGTATCAAAACGACTGCCTCGCTGAAATGATTGGCTGAAGGGGATTCGAGGAAACTCGGTCGCATTGTCAAGTATCAGAGTCTTGATGTACTCGAAGCAAAGGCAATTAAAGAATGTAGTCGCTATTCCTGGGCTAGGTTATGCTTCCCCAGGGAGGAAGGGGGGAGACATGGGCCGAGGATGGTGGGGAAGAGGGGAGGAGGTGAGTTGCTGGGGGTGCTTGCGTTGACGCAAAAAGAATGCTCACCTCGACTAAAAATTCTCGCCTGAAATGGAGAGTAGCGAGGCGATCTCTGCTTACTGAACGCCTTGCAGCAACAACTATCCAGGAGTTCCGCGGCAGCTACCTTCCCTCTTACAGTTACGGCTCACGGTGCTGCATGCTCTGTTGTGTTTCTAGCTCTCTCACCGTCCGCCACTCCTCCCGTCTGTCACGTCCCACTGCCTCACCTCACCTCACCTCACCTCACCGCCACCACCAGGCGGCTGTCTGGGTTGTCGGAATTCACAGGGGAGCTGACCTCCTTTGCACTGCTCTCCCACCTCCACCACCTCCAACACCTGTGAGTCTACTTTCAGAGCACCCACCCAGAAGTCACTCTTGTTTCGAGGAGCCTAAAAAATGGTCTGCTCTGAGAGCACTGCTCTGAGAGCACCCAGAAGTGGCTCCCTTGACACTCGAAGTGCTGTCACATCACAAATGTTTTCTTTCCAAAGGTTCCTTGTTATTTATCTGTCGCCATCGGACCCGGCTGTCAGGTGACAAGTTCACCTACTGACTTTGCCATGTGCTGTTTGCATACATGCGCACGGTTTGCAGATCACTCATTGGTCTCAGCAATGTGACAGGGGAGATACCCCGGGAGATTCGATACTTGACTGCCCTCACTACACTGTAAGCTGAACACAACACATGTGCATGTGCGTGCGATCGGCTCTGCACCGAGATAGGTGTTCTGCTGCAAATTCTTGCTCGTCTTAGGCCGGCCAATCCAGCTCGTGCGCACACACCACCAGCACACTTCAAGGTCCCTCTTCCCTTCTCATGCTCCCTCGCCGCCCTCCCTGCAGGGACCTCATATTTCTTCGAGCTGTGGACTTCCCAGACTGGGTCACTCAGATGTCCAAACTCCAGTCACTGTGAGAGTGCTCCTAGCTTTCTCATGTGCGCCTGTTCTCCCGCTCTGTTATTACCTTATTCTCCCCATCTCCTATTCCTGTACATTGCCCCACAACAATTGAGCTGCTAACAACCCACTCAATCAGTCAAACCGCGCCACAGCGTGACGTGCACTGTGTGCTAAACAGCCCTTTCTGCCACAGCCCTTTCTGCCACAGCCCTTTCTGCCATGTCGCTGAACAGCCCTTCCTGCTCTGCGCTTGTGAGGAGGCATGTGAGAACATCGAGCAAAGGAGTTGACTTGCACGTCAACTTAAAAACCAGGCCGCACCTCCTCTACGACTTTTGAGGCGCCTCAAAAGCATGTCAACTTAAAAACCACGCCGCACCTCTACGCGCACCTTGTGCAGAATCGCCCCTCCTATTCCCTTCTGCCTGCCCCTGCCTGTGAGCAGGCGAGTGATCAACGACGAGCCAAGGAGGCAGGGAGTGCTGCCAGAAGGCCTTTCAGAGTTGACAGCACTCACTCAACTGTGAGTGCGCATAGCACAGCGCAGCACACCACAGAACAGCCTCACGTACCTCGTTGCACAGCCTCACAACCCCATCGCACAGCCCAATGCCACATTGGTGTACATGCATGCATCCGTTACCTTGCCCCCCCCCCCCCCCCCCCCCTTCCTGCCATGCACTGCACACTGCAGGTCCCTCTTGGGGAACAACCTGGAAGGCGCCCTGCCCAAAGGCTTCTCCACACTTGCCAACCTGGCTGTCCTGTAAGCGAGGCACTTCCTGACCAGCCTGCCCTGTGTGGGACAGTTGACCATCAGGCTGACGTGTGAGACAGCAAAGCGCCAACTAGAGTCTATACTCTCTTTTTTACAAGTGTTATTGCAAACGGTCTATTCCTGCCTGTGTTTCTGTGTCTTGCAAAGCAATATTTTCTCCTGCATGTCACTTCAATCGCAGGGATCTGAGCTTGAACCATCTGCAAGGCACCATACCCGAAGCATACTCTGCGTTGTCAGCCCTCGCTGAACTGTACGTGTCCTATCCTGGTGATACGCGTTTCTCTCGTTAACCCCCTCTGCAACCCACCCGATCCCCAGAACCCCACCTCCCTTTTCTCTCCTCTTTCCGGCTTCCCCTCCCTGAGTAACCAACCAGTCCTGCGTCTCTTTGCTGGAAGAAACCGCCTTCCAATATGACATGCTTGTGCTTTGCTTGTGCTTTGCTTGTGATTTGCTTGTGCTTTGCTTGTGATTTGCTTGTGCTTTGCTTGTGCTTTGCTTGTGCTTTGCTTGTGCTTTGCTTGTGCTTTGCTTGTGATTTGCTTGTGCTTTGCTTGTGCTTTGCTCTTGCTTTGCTCGTGCTTTGCTCGTGCTTTGCTCGTGGCACTGCCCTCTTATCTGCAGGGACCTCTCATCAAATTACCTTTCCGGATTGGTGCCTCGAATCTTCAACGGCAACATCCAGTCTATGTATGCCTGTCTCCCTCCTCCACTACTCTCACACACTCTCTCTTGTTCACTTTCTTGCCTGCCTTTCTTCACTCTCTTTTACATTCTTACTCTGTCTATGTCTCTCCTCCGTCCCTCTATTGACCCTCCTCCCTTTTGCTCCGCTGACACCCCTCCCCTCCCCCCCCCCCCTCCCCCCCCACCTCCCCCCTCTCCCCTCTCTCGCCGCCCCCTGTTAAAACCGTTTTCTCCTTATTTTTGGTTCGGTACGTATTGTCCTTCAAATCCGCTGGAGGCTTAGTCGTCTAGTGTATTCAATGAGTCATATGTATCCGTTTACATTATAATAGTGTAGACATTAGGGGTTTGGTTATATTAGTTATAGGGTGCTCTCCTAGTGATTTTATCAAGATCTAGGCACCCCAAATTCGGCTTTGGGGCACCTCGGCACGTTTTACTTGGGGGCGCGGCTCCAGCCTCGACCCACGAATTTCAACATTGGAAACGCAGCTCCAGCTTGGAATTCGCGTTTCCAATTCGTGGAATCGCGGTTCCACTGGAGGGGGCGCTTCCAGGCCCACTGTGAGGGTCCCTCACGTCCCCATCTTGACTGTGGGCGACTTGAGCACCCATTTGGCCACCCCAAGCCCTTGGGCACCAATTTGTTTCACTCGTACCAGCCAAGTTGCCTCCAAGCTAGCTCTCTTCGCTCTCTGCGTAATATGTTCTGCTTGTATCCGCCACCTCAATTTTCTTAATGCTTCCAGAACCATTCAGCATTTCTGAAACAGCTTCGCCTTGTGCACATAGGTCTGTTTCTCTACACAAGGAAGGAAGGAAGCTCACTTAGAGTCGCTCTTGACCCATCTACACTCCACCCGCCTTGCCTGCCTCAGAATGCTCAGCTACAACAGCTTTTCCGGACCCATTCCGCCGCATCTCGCACTGCCTAGCTTGGTCTTGCTGTGAGCCCCACCTCCCGCCCAGCCCACCATGCAATGGCAGGCATGCACCTCCTTCCCTCCCTCCATGCTTCTCGCCAGTATCCCTTGCATTTGTATCTGTATTTCCAACCCTCCCTTCCTAATTGTACTTTGAATTTGTAACGGTCTTCTGATGGCTGTCAAGCTGAGCCTTGTATTCTCCGATAGATGTGCGTGCATTGGCCTCCCATCATCTTCCCCTCTTCCGCCCCTCTTCCTTTCCTCTTCCTCCCCTCTTCCTCCCCTCTTCCTCCCCTCTTCCAACCCTCTTCCTCCCCTCTTAATCCCCACTTCCTCCTCTCTTCCTCCCCTCTTCCTCACCTCTTCCTCCCCTCTTCCTCCCCTCTTCCTTCCCTCTTCCTGGCTGCAGGGAGTTGTTCAGCAATCGGTTCACAGGAGGCGTTCCCCACACCTTCACCAGGCTCACCGCCATTGCATCCCTGTATACACGGATAGTTCTCACTTAAATGCCATCTACACTTTGCCTTCTTGCCATCCCACTGTGCTGAGCTGTCTGAAGCCCAAGCCAACACGAAAAAACACAGAAGGCGCATCTTAAGTCATCTGCAGCTTTGCTTTCTTACCATGGCACTCTGCTGTGCTGCTGCCTGTAGCCCAAGCTTGAAGGCATGCTCATTGAAACCGCTAAGCATGTACGTTGCTCTGCTCTCACTAACTGTCCACGGCCAACCCTACATTTGTCTACCACAGCCGTTGTTCGTACTAATTCCCTTCTGCCGTGCGCTCGTGCACACAAATCCCACAGGATCGTGTCCAACAACAGCCTCAGCTCAGGCCTGGACGTGGTGGCTCAGATGACATGGCTCACAGACATGTGAGCACAGTCACTTGCTCGCTATTCACCGCCTGCCTGCCTTCACGTTCCTCCCCCTTCCCTCCCTCCCTGCTTAGCTGCTGTGGCTCTCCTTCATGTGTCGGCCTCTGTTCAAGTCCAACTGACCCCGTTCAATCCAATCCGCGCAGAGACCTCCATACAAACATCTTCTCCGGTGTGCTACCCGTGTCCTTTGCTGCTATCAAGGGCCTCACATCCATGTGAGTCATGTTCGGATTGTATTGCTGCGTAGCGCTTCCTTTCTTCCTGTCTGGTATACCAACGGTACATGACTGAGTATGTGTCCAGAATTCGGCATCACTTTGGAAGTTCTATTCTAGTCAAGAAGATTGGATTACAAATAGGGAGGTATGAAGAGATTGTCCATCCATGGCAATGGCAATAGCATGCATGGATGCTCACCTGCAGGTACGATTCTGTGTATCTCATGGCTTACGAAGGCGGTGGAGATGAGTGTTTCTTCTTTCCCATGTGTGATGGGTTGCATTCGCTCCACTTAAGGGTGGGTGCATGCGTCCATGAGTGCATACATACATACCTACGTTTTGAGAAAGCTTATGCAAGTGTGTCGCCATTTGTATGTGCATTCGCCCATCGTTTGATTCAACTCCCCCACGCCCTTCAGAAGCATCCAGAACAACCACTTCACAGGATCCTTCCCCGAGCCACTTCTGAGCAACACAGGCCTCGAAGTTCTGTAAGAGGAGCACCTGACCCGAGGAGGCTGTCAAGAGCTCCTTCAGGTCACCAAAGCACGTACACACAGAAGCAGTGTTGTTTCCGAAGCCACCGGCAGTTTCTGTGGATGTAAAACTCGTCCTTCCCAAAGGCTATGCCTCTCCCAAAGGCATCTGATGAGTATACTTAATTTTTGAGGCGCCTCAGAACTCGTCTGAGGATGGGCTGCCATTGTCGCCGCTTCCTGTGGCCATGGTACTTGCTGCAGGAATTTGAGCAACAACAGTTTTACCGGGTTCATCCCCAACCGACTCACAGAGCTTGTCAGCCTGGGAGATATGTGAGTCGCACCCCTGCTTGCCTCTTGCCTGCAGCCTGCAGCCAAAGCACACACACATGCAGCCGTGGGAGTGCGACTTTTGAGTCGACTCAAAAGTCACCTCGAAGTTGTGTCACCTGCTGGCTGCACCCAAAGCGCACACACACACACACACACACACACACACACGCACGCACGCACGCACGCACGCACGCACGCACGCACGCACGCACGCACGCACGCACGCACACACACACACACACACACACACACACAGCCATGGAAGTGCCATGGCATGAGTGCGAGAAAGGGTCGGAACGGGATGAATGAGGCTGTGTAATCACACAGGAGGCGACCATGTTGTATGGGGACGAGTCTGAAGCAATTTCATCATACACAACTAGCAGCTCATGATCATCTGTCGCCTCCTTCTCGCCCTTGAGGTTGCTGCTGTCAGTAATCTGAGTGACAACATGTTCCGGGGAGTTATCCCACCTGGCCTCTTCCACCTCCCCTTGCTCAACTCACTGTGAGCGCCCCTATTGCCTTGCCTTCAACACACCCTGTTGCATCTAATTTTCTCGCTTGCCTCATTCATTCTTCTTTCTTGCCTGCCTTTAGCTCCATGCCGTAACAAATCTGCGGCCCCAGCCTGCATTTTCAGGCTTCCTATGCATGCTATTTGCAGGCGATTTCTGGCTTTAATTACCATGCTAGCCCCCCTTCTCCCCCACACCTTACCCCTCTGCTGCAGGCAAGTGGCCAACAACTTCCTCTCGGGAGGCCTTCCAACGTCTCTCAAGGCTTCCAACTCCCTGAAAACACTGTGTGTGGCACCAGCTCTGTCTCACGTCGCTTGTCAGTATGCTCAAGTGATGTTCCTGGATCTTACATCTGCGCTGCTGCTTACTATGCTGCCTTGTTGTGCCGTCTGCCCCCTGCCCACCGTGCAGTAACCTGGCAGGAAACGGCTTCACAGGTCATTTACCTGACTTCTCTCTCTGGCATGTCAACCTCGAACGCCTGTGCGTCTCTCTCTCTCCTCTCTCGTTCTCTCTCAAGTGATCGCGTCCAGGACCAGGTGACACACGTTGCTGAGCGGAACGTGGCGCCGAGCTGTTGAGGTGTTCCTTGGTGGTGCAGTACAGTCGTCTGGTCCACATAGACAAAAGTTACGTGTGCAGTCGATGTACGCGTATGCCAATCCGAGCATGGGCGGGAAGGTTGTTGTCACAGCTTGGTATGCCAAGTGCAGCATGGACGGGAAGGTTGTTGTCACAGCTTGGTATGCCAAGTGGAGCATGGACGGGAAGGTTGTTGTCACAGCTTGGTATGCCAAGTGGAGCATGGACGGGAAGGTTGTTGTCACAGCTTGGTATGCCAAGTGGAGCATGGACGGGAAGGTTGTTGTCACAGCTTGGTATGCCAAGTGGAGCATGGACGGGAAGGTTGTTGTCACAGCTTGGTATGCCAAGTGGAGCATGGACGGGAAGGTTGTTGTCACAGCTTGGTATGCCAAGTGGAGCATGGACGGGAAGGTTGTTGTCACAGCTTGGTATGCCAAGTGGAGCATGGACGGGAAGGTTGTTGTCACAGCTTGGTATGCCAAGTGGAGCATGGACGGGAAGGTTGTTGTCACAGCTTGGTATGCCAAGTGGAGCATGGACGGGAAGGTTGTTGTCACAGTTTTGAAAGCTCAGAGAGACTTCTTGGCGGTCTCAGTCTCTCCTCTCACAGAGCAAAGGCGGGCGAAGGCAAAGGTGCTCCTCCAGCCATGGCTTGCCGTGGGAGGTCATTGCTTCGATGCTGGCATCCCATTCGCTCTTTCGAGATTCTTACAGGCATTGTGTCACCGCCTTACAGTGAGGTCATTCTGGTGAGAGCCAATGTGTACGGCGGGGGATAAAGAGGAGCAGATCCCATCCTGTTGCGGAATCCGAGTGCTTTGCCAGGCAGGCACCCTCTCGGGGTCTCAGGGCACCGTGGCATGTGGCGGGTGAAGTGCTGGTGTGACTTTTCTGGGAAGCTAAGGTTGAGGGCTGCTGCAGAGGAGCGGCGAACTGGTTGTCCCAGATTGCCAGCCTGGCAATGCAGCTTTTACTGTCACGGACCAGCTTCTCTGGTGACCATTGGCACAGCCTTTTGTTGGGGTTACGGGGTCCTGTGTTACCGTCTACATTCCCAATTTCTGTCTTACTTCGTCAACCTAGCATACAAGATGCGCCTTGAATAGGGGTGTTTGAGAAATAGTATCATCTTCGCTGCTGAGCTCCCCTCTTTCAGGCTCTCAGATGCAAATTCGTTGTCTCCCTTCCTTTTCTTTTCACATTCTGGCTGTTGTACGCCCATTCACATCTACTAAACCTTGTTAGTATCACCCCTAACTCTGTATCCATGCCCCATGCTGTCTGTTATGTGTGGGTGGTGGTGGGCAGGGCCCTCAACCACAACAACTTCACAGGGTCCATTCCTGACTCCATCTCCACCCTCACCTCTCTCAATGGCATGTGAGCTACCCCTGCTGGCACCCACTCATCCAATCCAATCCAACTGCACTGCATGTGTAATAATACCTTGTACCTGATCTCTATCCTTCGCCTCCTTGTAACCTGTGGTACAGTTAGGTAGCATGCTGGCATTCTTCACTCCATAGCATCTACTCACCTCGCCTGTGCTCCCGTTCCTATGGCATCGCATCTCACCTATGCATGCAGCATCCTCAACAACAACCACCTGAACGGCTCCATTCCATCGGCCATCTTCAGCATGACGAATCTAGCTTCCCTGTGAGCTAAACTCAACTCAAGTGCCCTCTTGAGAGCTCGTTGCCTCCTCTGCATCGAGTGTCCACTTCTCGTCTGCTCGCTCACGGCTCTCCCTCATTCCACGTTTTTCCACCAGCCAGCTATTCTCGCCTTCCATGCATCTCAACGATCTGTGTTATCACCATCCTTCCTGCCTGTCATCACCCTGCAGCTATCTGGCCAACAACCGTCTGAGTGGCAGACTGCCCTCTGACATCAGTCGCCTGGAGAAGCTCGAGCAGCTGTGAGCGCCCTTGCTGCCTGAAGCTGAATTTTTTTCCCTTCCTCACGAGACCTGGGCTCAGCATGGAGAAGAAGGGTGTGGCACAACCTTGGAAAAACTCTAGCACACCGTATGAGCTGTAAAAGTCGCCACGGTCATGGCAAAGAATAATGCCACCCACCCATGCCGTGCGGTTGTGCGGTACTTGTAATTTTTGGCCCGAGCGGTGGCCTTGGCTGGCAAACTGACACTATGGGGCGTTGAGGCGAGATTGGGCCGGTTACGTAGGGCGTGATGGTTGCTGGTCCTGCAGCGGATGAGGTGGTTTTGTAAAAGGGAGCATGCGACTGTTGCTGGTCCTGCAGCGTCCGGGACGAGCTGTGGCAGGCCCAGCGGCAGTCAGAATGGCACAGCGGGTGCAATTTGTGGTGGAGACAGATGGAGAAGAGTGTTGGGTAAGGGAAGATTAGTGAGCACATTCACGCGTGCCCGGTCCAATTGGAATAGGAGGCAGAGTGTGTGGCCGAGCAAGGAGTAACAACCGGCCCGTTTTCTTCCGGAGCTGCATGGCAGTAGACCACACGCTCTCAGCTCCCTGACTGTTGGATTAGCAGCCGAGAGTGGCGGTCGTACGAGAAGGCTGCAAATGGGATCAGCAAGTCCGTGTGGCTGCACCAGATCGCGAACAGCATGGTGGCACTTCATGCTGGCGGAGGCCGTAACACAACCGGCCTCTCTTTCGAGTGCGTTAAAGGCATCGCTGGTAGCCATATGTGACCCATCGCTCCTCTGGGCCATTGGTCGGACCCCTCCCTGGGGTTTCGTGAAGCAGAGGAGTAAAGACGCCGTCAATAATTCCGTGCGATGAGAATTGAGTTTGCCAGCGAGTGCGGTGTTCACAAGAGCTAACAGGTCCACTCCAACGTCTGGGTGCATGAGGCGGCATCATGTAGGTATTCGAAAGCCATGCCGCTCATACCCGCACCACCAACTCCGTTCTGCAACTGGCTAGGAGGTGGCAGAGGTTCCGGCGGGTAATGGCTGGGTACCTAGGGAGCTAGTGGGTCTGGATCCAATTTAGGGTGGATGTGGTGGTACTGGGGAGGCGAGAATGCAGGGCGGGGTTCTGGTAGATTAAGGACCAACATTGAGGCTGCTGTAGGCGTTGTTGGAGACCACCAGCGGGCTATCAAGTGCTTGTGGACTCGGGGCTGGGGGAGGTCGCCCTTCTGAGCGCATGGCGAGCGCATGGCGAGCGCATGGCGAGCGCATGGCGAGCGCATGGCGAGCTCATGGCGAGCTCATGGCGAGCGCATGGCGAGCTCATGGCGAGCTCATGGCGAGCGCATGGCGAGCTCATGGCGAGCTCATGGTGAACCCGTCCCATTGGAGGCTGTCGCTGTCACCTGCACTGTGGGCCGAGCTGAGCCATCAAGCGGCGCAGCGCAGCACGTGGAGCCTCTACGACGTGAGTCCCACCCACCGCGGCTCCCTCCCTTCCCTTCGACCAGGTTCGCCGCGGCCGTGGGAGTCTCCTCCAGTATGGCGGACTTGGGGAGGGCAGACAGAGTCACGGTGGCCAGCATGAGTTGCCGCAGCAGCAAGGGCGGAGGCGGCCAGAGTCTGATCCGATGGCGACAGCAGGCACGGCCTCTGCGTGTGCGGAGATTCCAGCCACGATCCGGACAATGCCACGGCACCAAGCGGCCAGGCTGCGTGAGCATGCGGGGCAGATTCATGTGCGAAGTCCTCCGCCCCTTGATCTGTTGGCATGCCCTCCTGCGGTGGCACCACCGCCTCAGCGTCGGTTGGACCCCCTCCGCAGCGACCTCCGCAGGCGGCTGCGGTGATGTGGTGCACTGCTCCAGGTGTGGGCCCACCGGCTTTCATGCTGCCTGCCAAGATTGGAGCGAATGCCTCCCGCAGCAAGTGAGGCCAGCCAGCCATGCCCGGTTATGAATCCGCCACCGCAGCCCCAGCCCCTGTCTCCACCCCAGCTGGCACCCGTCCAGCCAGAGGATCATGAGGCGCCTGGCCGGCGGGGGGCAGCCGCAACGGGGATGGCGGAGGAGGCATCAACGGAGGTTTCCCCCTATCGCCGCCGGCCTGCTTGCCGCCGGTTAGGTGGTATCCACTTGAGCTCCTGCCTGGCTAGTTGTTGAGAGCAGCTCAGCAGTGGCCGAGGCGGGTGACCTTCCCGTTCCCCTCTGCCACCCGCGGGTGTATGTGGAGGTAGTCGTGAGTCGAGACCACGGGGTATGTTGGAGAATGCCTACACATTGGTGGGCAACTGTCCTGCAGAGTGCCGCCACGCTGTTTGCGACTCGGTACATCATCGTGAGTTGGAAGGGGAGGCGAGGTGGTCTCAGAACGAGCTGGGGTTGGGTGAGGAGGTGGAGGAGGTGATGGTACTTGAGTTGGGCACATGGGCTGTTTGGCTCGTTCACGTTCAGCTGTAAACGTGGTCGACGGCTGCATGTCAGCAGTCTGTCTTGATCAAACCATGGTGCAGTTGTTGGAAAGGACAAGCGTGATGGGATGCTGTAGTCGGTGGCTGGCAGCAGTGGTAGCAAGGTGCTTGCAGTAGGCCCTCCATGATTTCTCCCTGGGATATCTCTCGTGTGAGCTTGTGTTGTCTCCGTTGCTAATGTTGTTTGTGGTAGCCTCAGCATTGCCTTCAGCCGACAGCACAAGCCGTCGATTGCAAAACCAAGACCACAACTCCACAAGGTCACTCATTAGGACTTCTCTCGCTCTCGATCTCTTATGTGTCTGTGTCTGTGCCTGTGTCTGTTCTCCCTCTTTGTGCCTCTTACGATTCTCCAATTTCTATTCCGTCTCTGTCCACCCCGCCTTCTCTCTGCAGCTGGCTGGACAACAACAACATCGAGGGCACTCTGCCACCCGCCATCTGCTCGCTACCCGAGCTATGGCGCATGTGAGTGGCTATGGCGCATGTGAGTGGCTATGGCGCATGTGAGTGGCTATGGTGCATGTGAGTGGCTGTGACGCATGTGAGTGGCTGTGACTCATGTGAGTGGCTATGGCGCATGTGAGTGGCTGTGGCGCATGTGAGTGGCTGTGGCGCATGTGAGTGGCTATGGCGCATGTGAGTGGCTATGGCGCATGTGAGTGGTTATGGCGCATGTGAGTGGCTGTGACGCATGTGAGTGGCTGTGACTCATGTGAGTGGCTATGGCGCATGTGAGTGGCTGTGGCGCATGTGAGTGGCTGTGGCGCATGTGAGTGGCTATGGCGCATGTGAGTGGCTATGGCGCATCTGAGTGGTTATGGCGCATGTGAGTGGCTGTGGCGCATGTGAGTGGCTGTGGCGCATGTGAGTGGCTATGGTGCATGTGAGTGGTTATGGCGCATGTGAGTGGCTGTGGCGCATGTGAGTGGCTGTGACGCATGTGAGTGGCTGTGGCGCATGTGAGTGGCTGTGGCGCGTGTGAGTGGCTGTGACGCATTTGAGTGGCTGTGGCGCATGTGAGTGGCTATGGCGCATGTGAGTGGCTATGGCGCATGTGAGTGGCTGTGGCGCATGTGAGTGGCTGTGGCGCATGTGAGTGGCTATGGTGCATGTGAGTGGTTATGGCGCATGTGAGTGGCTGTGGCGCATGTGAGTGGCTGTGACGCATGTGAGTGGCTGTGGCGCATGTGAGTGGCTATGGCGCATGTGAGTGGCTATGGCGCATGTGAGTGGTTATGGCGCATGTGAGTGGCTGTGGCGCATGTGAGTGGTTGTGACGCAAGTGAGTGGCTGTGGCGCATGTGAGTGGCTATGGCGCATGTGAGTGGCTATGGCGCATGTGAGTGGCTGTGGCGCATGTGAGTGGCTGTGGCGCATGTGAGTGGCTGTGGCGCATGTGAGTGGCTGTGGCGCATGTGAGTGGCTATGGCGCATGTGAGTGGCTGTGGCGCATGTGAGTGGCTGTGACGCATGTGAGTGGCTGTGGCGCATGTGAGTGGCTGTGGCGCATGTGAGTGGCTGTGACGCATGTGAATGGCTGTGGCGCATGTGAGTGGCTATGGCGCATGTGAGTGGCTATGGCGCATGTGAGTGGTTATGGCGCATGTGAGTGGCTGTGGCGCATGTGAGTGGCTATGGCGCATGTGAGTGGCTATGGCGCATGTGAGTGGTTATGGCGCATGTGAGTGGCTGTGACGCATGTGAGTGGCTGTGACGCATGTGAGTGGCTATGGCCATGTGAGTGGCTATGGTGCATGTGAGTGGTTATGGCGCATGTGAGTGGCTGTGGCGCATGTGAGTGGCTGTGACGCATGTGAGTGGCTGTGGCGCATGTGAGTGGCTGTGGGGCATCGCATGGCACATAGTGTTTCAAAATCTCCTCCTCCTTTCACTGTAGGTTTGCACGTGAAAGCCGAAGGTGAAGCTCTTGAATGTTTGACAGTAAAAGGTGCACCCCCTCTGAATCGTTGGCTACGTGCGTTTATAAGCATTGGCCAGACAAGAGAATGGTGCCACATGTTTCACTTGCTCATGTGCCCCAATCAGAGCACTAGGTAGGGTGCAGGATCAATTTTTGCACAGCATATTTACCGGCAAGGTAAACATTGGGAAAACAACTGTTACCAACAGTGATGACCTCGTGTCCTTAACGGTAAGTGTGGTGAAAATGGAAAAACGGTGTTGACGACTCAGCACGAGAAGCGAGAAAAGGGCCGGCCCACCAAGACTAGAGTCCACCTGCCAAGTCAATTCTATGTGACACATGCTATGTATGTGTGATAGAATGTAGCGCTAATTTGCTACACAAGGGTTGTCCTTGCATGGTTGTGAGTCACGCAGCATGTAATCTACTGCAGTAGAGTGAACAACGAGTGGCAAATATCACACAAGGATCAAGGCAAGTTGTATCACACCACACATAAACTCATGGGGAGGGAGGTGGGGAAGTGTTGTGTTGAATTTAGTCTTTAGTGTGTGCAGTTGAAGCTAGCGAGTGTCTGTTGCTCGTGCTGTTACATTTAGAGCTTACATTAGTGAGGTACAGCTGCATTGTGTGCCGTGTGCTATGTTCTGTGTGCTGTGTGCTGTGTGCTGTGTGCTCTGTGCTCTGTGCTGGCAGCATGATGAGCAACAACTACCTCTATGGGCCCCTGCCAGACTGCATCTTCGACAAGTGTGTCAATCAAATGTGAGACAATCAACCTGTGCACTCTTGCCTGAGGTTCAAGCACGGTATTCCTACTCCCTCGTGCGCTTATGCAGCTCAGGTGTATGCAAGCAGCTGACGTGTGGGCATGCTCTTTTGATGGTCGGTGAATTAAAGGGCATTGGCAGTTGCTCACTCTGAAATGGGAGTGAGTGCATCTGTTGATCCTTCCCCTGCTCCCTGTGCTCCTCGCAGCGATGTGAGCAGCAACAGCCTGTACAGGCGCACCTTTTGACCCTTCCCCTCTTCCCCTGTCTTCTCGTTCTCCTGGCCTTGTCCAACCCCTACTCCCCCCAGCGATGTGAGCGGCAACAGCCTGTACGGGCGCATCAACCGCAACTTCAGGAGCATGGTGGCGGATGGCGATGCGCTCATCAACTTGGCTCACAACTTCTTCTTCGGTGATGCCGTGCTCCTCGCTGCCGGCTGCCAGGTCTGCCCCATCCACATCAGCAAGCCCAACAACCTCGTCCTGGGAGACACGGGCGTAGGCGCTGTTGGGAAATGTGCCACCAGCTTCACTGCCATACGAGATTACTCGGTGGCGGGGGCGGGCAAGGGTGCGAGGGTGAGTGTGGCGGGCAACTGCCTGACGCTCATCCCGGACGCGGAGTGCGCAGCCAACGCCACCCAGCGCAGCACGGCAGCCTGCCAGGCGTTCTGCAGCATCACGGACAACGGCCCGTGTGACGGCCATGGGGAGTGTGTGCCGCCTGCCCCCGCCTCCCCCTCCAACTTCACCTGCCTCTGCCACGCCGGCTACTCGCCTCTCGACTCGGGCAACGGCTCCACCTGCGCTGTGGTCAACTCTACCACCACCACTGGTGAGCTTACTTGCATTTGCTGTATCCTCCCCCACCTACTGGAAAGGTTGAAAATGTCGTTAGCCGGAGTTATCGCTTCCAAGCTTTCTCTCGAAAGTCTCGCTGTTTTTTTTCTGAATATTTTGGCGACTGTAGTCTCGAGTGAGAAGCTTGATTAAGTGATTCATACTGTGAAAATTGTAAATTAATCTCCACGGATGTTTGTTTTTCCCTCGATCGTTGTTCCACGAAATTGCAAATACTAGGCTGCGGCTAGATTCACATTTCGCAGCAAGCACTACCTCATTCAATCCTCTTGTTTTCGTTTTTTTTCTTTTTTCTTCGTAACCACCCCTCGGCAGTGTCCTCGCTCTCCACGGGCGCCATAGTGGGCATCGCTGTGGGCTGCTTCGCTGGCTTCGTTCTTTTGGCGGCTGTCCTCACATGCGTGCTGTGGCCCCGCGGACCAATTGAGTCCCCCAACCTCGCACTCCTCTTCCACTACTGCATCCCTGCCTCCATTCTTCCGCTCCTATCTCCCCCATCACTGCGCACTCGCCCCATACTTCATCGTGTGTGTGTCGTGTGTATACATGCAGGGAAGTGGGAGGGGCTGGAAGTGTGTGAGCAGTACACGCTACACCAGATGGTGAAGGCCACGGACAACTGGGCCAAGGAGAACGAGGTGGGAAGGGGCGGATTTGGCGTGGTGTACAAGGGGCACTCGCCACAGGGGCAGCTGTGGGCCATCAAGCGCTCCACTGTGATGACCAACAACTTTGAGAGAGAGGTGAGGCCGAGCAGCTGCAACATGCACTGCTGGTGCGACATCCTTGCACACAGCAAGGAGCGAATCCACCCCTAGCAGCATACCTGCAGGTTAATTGGGCATATTCAAGACTTAAACCTCTCCTCTTTCGCCCTCTGAATTCATCACCTGCAGGCTGACTGGGCATATTCAGGATCTGGTCCTATCTCTCCCCTTTCGCACTCTGAATGCATCTCCTGCAGGTGCGGGCCATGGCGACACTCAACCATGTGAATCTGGTGCGTCTGCTGGGCTTCTGTGTGGATCAGAATGTGGAGACGGGCAATCAGGAGCAGATCTTGGTTTATGAGTTCGTCGCTAACAGAGACTTGCAGTACCACATTTTCAAGACCAAGAGTGAGTTTTATTTTCTGTGCATAAACCATGAGTTACATGGTTTCTCAAAGTTGGCAGGAGAGAATAGCACACAAGCACACAAACACGCACCCTCACACTCACTCACTCACACATACACACACCACAACTCATGGTCTGAAGCATCTCTCCATGCATCTCTGAACTCTCTCTTTGCACGTCCTTCTATGCTCTCTCTTCCAGACCCTCTTTCGCTGCGGCAGCGACTGCGCCTGGCGCAAGGAGCTGCGGAGGGGCTGGCATACCTGCATGGGTTTGAAACGCCCATCATTCATCGCGACATCAAGCCCGCCAACATCCTCGTGACGGCCGACTTTCAAGCCAAGGTGGCTGACTTTGGGCTGCTCAAGCGCCTCACTCACTGCGAGGGCGATGCCACCAGAGTGGCGGGCACTCCTGGCTATGTGGACCCTGATTACAACCGCACACGCGTGGTCACCACCAAGAGCGACGTCTTCAGGTTGGATTGCTTCTGAAATAAATGCTTATGAACATCCCTGCCTTATTTTTTCTTGCAATTGCTCCACGTGTATCTTCTAACCTGTGTCAAAGATTGTGTATGTTTTTATGCTTCTTGCCTGCCGGCAGCTTTGGCATCGTGCTTCTGGAGCTGCTAACTGGCTCGACGCCAATTCGCTACGAGTCACACATCAGAGATTGGGTACGGCATTGCAGACGAGGAATCACGAAATCAATCATTTTCCGCCATGGAGCAAATGTATCTACTGCCTCGTGCCATTGTGATGCGTCCATTCACCGCAGGCAATCCAGAAGGTTGAGGCATATGCACTGGAAGAGCTCAAGGACAGCAAGCTGGACGCATGTGAAGAGGCCATAGTGGCCTTTGCCGACCTCGCTCTGGACTGTGTCAAGAGGCCGGGCACACGGCGGCCCGACATGAAGGCCGTGGCTCACTCCCTCAACGCCCTGATAGAGAAGTTCTGCCCAGACAAGGAGCCGTGCGAGTTAGTGGAGAAGCTTTCATCCTTGGGGAGCCAATCCAGCCAGTCTGCGGTTCTCTCTAGTGGGACTGAAGGGCACAGTGGCACCAACCAGAGTGGCAGCTCCTCCAATGGCCTTGGTTCCAGGTTCCGTGTGTTAGACAGCTGGATGCAGCATCGATTTTCAGAAGGCTATTGACCCGATGCAGCATCCATCCTACACGACGTTTATTGTACAACAATCTGACTCCGTGCATTCGTGCGAGGATGTGTTGCAAATAAGGTGGTGCAATCCATGTCAGAAATAGCCGGCAAGAATGATTGACTAGTAGGGAAGAGTGAGTACAAGTACTAGGAATGACGTAAGGTGTTGTACTCCTTAGCGTATGCCCCAATACAGCAGGGATAACAAATGCAATTTGACACACCCCCATAGGCAAAGTGGGGGATAGCAAACACAACGGACGGTCACAAGACCAATCAAGCAAGAGAACAAAGCAAAGCAAAGCTCAGGGTGGATCTCAAGTTCACCACGCATTCTGAGCACAAGCGAGCGGCCACAAGGCCAGTTCACATGTAGAGTTATAAAAGCACAAGCAGTACAGTGATCACAACCTAGCAAGAGCAAGCATGCAGGTATATCTACATATAGATCGCAGTACAAGACAAGTCAAACAACAGGCATGTAAGGCAGAGTAGGCACAAGGCCTAGAGCAGTGCAGAAGCGCTGATGATCACCAGACCCCAGGGCTTTGGTGAAGACATCAGCAGTGTTTGCCCGAGAGTACACCCAAGCAAGGCACAGCTGACCACGCTGCTGCAGCTCCCGAACAAGAAAGTAACAAAGAGCAATGTGGTTCGTTCTGTGCTCCCGTCTCTGCTCCCGACACAAGGCAATCATGGCCTTGTTGTCGACGTACGAAACTGGAGAACGAGGCCGCTCACCCAGGACGGCTAGCAGGTAGGTCAGTCAGCGCAAATCCTGTGCAGCCATAGCCCCAGCATAGATGTCGGCCTCACAGCTGGAACTAAGCACAGTGGACGAACGAGAGGACCTTCACGAGACAGAACCAGAGCTGAGACTGAAAGAATAACCCTGTGACGAACGCTGATTTTCCTGGTCGTCGGCCCAAGAAGCGTCGGAGTGTCCTGTGAGTACCACTAGACCCCGCCCTCCAAGCACAAGCCCCGTGCCCAATGTACTGCACAAGTAACGCAGTACCCTCTGCGCAACTGTCCAGTGCTCCTTCCTGTGTCTCCCGGGGGCGACGAAGCGAGCAAGGATGCTGAGAGGGTATGCAAGATATGAGGTACATAAGGCAGCCCACAAGCTCGTCTCCTTGGACTCGTCCAAAGGTGGAGCTGAGAGCGAGTGACCTGTAGGCAGAGGAGTGGAGTGTGGCGAGGAGAACCGAAAGCCGAAGCGCTGAAGGACCTGGTGCACCATGTGCAACTGAGTCAGAGTGATGGTGCTTTATGCTCTGTCCCTGCTGATCTGCAAGCCAAGATAGCTACGCAGTTCACCCAGGTCAGTGCATGTATGTCTCTTCTGCAGCTCCGCCTTCGCAAGGGTCAGTGCCTCAGTGTTAGCAGTAGCAAAGACCAAGTCGTCCAGCATCTCCAGCTCCAGTACCTCCATCCCATGCAGCTCCAGCGCCTCCAGCACCAGCAGCTCCAGTACCTCCAGCACCAGCAGCTCCAGTACCTCCAGCGTCTCCAGCTCGAGTATCTCCAGCACCAGCAGCACCAGCAGCTCCAGCACCTCCAGCACCTCCAGCTCTAGTACCTCCAGCACCAGCAGCTCCAATACCGCCAGCTCTAGCACCTCCAACACCAGCAGCTCCAGCACCTCCAGCACCAGCGACTCTAGCACCTCCAGCACCAGCAGCTCCAGTACCTTCAGCACCTCCAGCTCTTCTACCTCTAGCACCAGCAGCTCTAGTACCTCCAGCACTAGCACCTCCAGCACCAGCAGCTCCAGCACCTCTAGCTCTAGCACCTCCATCACCAGCAGCTCTAGCACCTCCAGCACCTCCAGCTCTAGTTCCTCCAGCACCAGCAGCTCCAGTACCTCCAGCACCAGCAGCCCTAGTACCTCCAGCACCTCCAGCTCTAGCACCTCTAGCACCAGCAGCTCCAGTACCTCCATTATATCCAGCTCTAGCACCTCCCGCACCAGCAGCTCCAGTTACTCCAGTACCTCCAACTCTAGCACCTCCAGCACCAGCAGCTCCAACACCTCCAGCACCTGCAGCTCCAGTACCTCCAGCACTAGCACCTCCATCACCAGCAGCTCTAGCACCTCCAGCACCAGCAGCTCCATCACCTCCAGCACCTCCAGCTCTAGCACCTCCAGCACCAGCAGCTCCAGCACCTCCAGCACCTCCAGCTCTAGTACCTCCAGCACCAGCAGCTCTAGCACCTCCAGCACCAGCAGCTCCAGCACCTCCAGCACTCCAGCTCTAGCACCTCCAGCACCAACAGCTCCAGTACCTCCAGCACATCCAGCTCTAGTACCTCCAGCACCAGCAGCTCCAGTACCTCCAGTACCAGCAGCTCAAGTACCTCCAGCACCTCAGCTCTAGCACCTCCAGCACCAGCAGCTCCAGTACCTCCAGTACCTCCAGCTCTAGCACCTCTAGCACCAGCACCTCCAGCACCTCCAGCACCAGCAGCTCCAGTACCTCCAGCACCTCCAGCTCTTGTACCTCCAGCACCAGCAGCTCCAGTACCTCTAACACTAGCACCTCCAGCACTAGCAGCTCTAGCACCTCCAGCACCAGCAGCTCCAGCACCTCCAGCTCTAGCACCTCCAGCACCAGCAACTCCGGTACCTCCAGCACCTCCAGCCCTAGTACCTCCAGCACCTCCAGCTCTAGCACCTCCAGCACTAGCAGCTCCAATACCTCCAGTACATCCAGCTCTAGCACCTCCAGCACCAGCAGCTCCAACACCTCCAGCTCTAGCACCTCCAGCACCAGCAGCTCCAGTACCTCCACTAACTCCACCTCTAGCACCTCCAGCACCAGCAGCTCTAGCACCTCCAGCACCAGCAGCTCCAGCACCTCCAGCGCTCCAGCTCTAGCACCTCCAGCGCCAGCAGCTCCAGTACCTCCAGCACCTCCAGCTCTAGTACCTCCAGCACCAGCAGCTCCAGTACCTCCAGCACCAGCAGCCCAGTACCTCCAGCACCTCCAGCTCTAGCACCTCCAGCACCAGCAGCTCCAGTACCTCCAGCACCTCCAGCTCTTGTACCTCCAGCACCAGCAGCTCCAGTACCCTCTAGCACTAGCACCTCCAGCACTAGCAGCTCTAGCACCTCCAGCACCAGCAGCTCCAGCACCTCCAGCACCTCCAGCTCTAGCACCTCCAGCACCAGCAACTCCGGTACCTCCAGCACCTCCAGCTCTAGTACCTCCAGTACCAGCAGCTCCAGTACCTTTAGCACCAGCAGCCCCAGTACCTCCAGCACCTCCAGCTTTAGCACCTCCAGCACTAGCAGCTCCAGAACCTCCACTACCTCCAGCTCTAGCACCTCCAGCACCAGCAGCTCAAGTACCTCCAGTACCTCCAGCTCTAGCACCTCCAGTACCAGCAGCTCCAGTACCTTTAGTACCAGCAGCTCCAATACCTCTTGTACCTCTAGCTCTAGTACCTCCAGCACCAGCAGCTCCAGCACCTCCAGCACATGCAGCACCATAGCCTCCACCACCAGGATTGCCTCGCCGAACAACCCACTCACGAAGCTGCTGCGGTGAGAGGGTCTCCTGTCGACGAGACTGCTGCTGCTGTCCAACGCCAAAACCCCCAACAGGAGCACCCACGACTCCACCACCACTAGGACTCACAGCACCCCCAGTGTCAGCACCCCCAGAACCGGCACCCCCAAAGTCAGCACCCCCTAGAACCAGCACCCCCAGACTCAACAACCCGCGGACCAGCACCCCCATAGTCCGCACCCTCAAAGTCACCACCTCGAGCAGCACTAGAGTCCACAACGACAGGCTGCGGAGGCGGCGAAGACGGCCGAGGCGGAAAATTAAGAGGGGTCTCCAAGCACGGGGAGCGCCGAGTGGCCGTCGTGTCGTCAGCAGCGGGTGCACCCCCCTCAGCTGGGCCAGAGATGTCAGAGGAGACCTCCGAAGGCTCAACCAAGGGGAGTGGGTCGACCTGAGACACACCTGAGGGAGCAGGACCCTGAGGGGGGAGGGGGTCTTTTGGGGGGGGACCTAAGACCAAGAAGTGGGGCAACGGGGAGAGTGGGGAGGACACATGCGGGTGGGGACGGTAGAAGCAGACTGACTCATCAAAGGTGACGTTCTGTGAGGACAGGACGCGGCACGAGGCAGGGTGGTGAAACTGCAAGGGCAGGGCGTCAGCAGAGAAGCCAAGGAAGACGCAGCGAAGAGTGCGAAGAGAGAGATTTCCCACTGTGGTATCGCGGACAAAGGAGAGCGCGCCCCAAACCCGAAACGCCGATGCATCGCCAACCTCCCCCGTCCAACACAGTGTAGGCGAGGTCTCTGGCACAGAGACACGGGGTCAGAGGTTGAGCTGATGCGCGGCGTATCAGACCGCAAATGGCCACAGAGATTGGGGAGCAGCGGCATGGATCATGGAGGTGCGAGCAACCTCCATGACCAAGCCAATGCGATGCTCGGCAATCCCATTTTGCTGTGGAGAGGCCGGAAGCGTGAACGACTGGGCGATGCCCTTCGCA